GCTCCTGCTGTGTTAGGTCATGTGTGTGATACTTGAAGAGAATGCAGCCCAGGGGCATAGGGTATCCTATACTTGCCACGACTCTGAGAAAGGTTTCATTCCATGTACGTGGAGATAGAGAAGTATGTTTATCATGGAAAATGTGAAAAGCATCTCTAGGTATGCATTGGTGTTCCAAAGCTGTAAACTCCTCCAAGCCGTGCAGCCTTAGCAAATACAAAGTACAAATATAATTACTGCCTGATTACCTTGAATTGTAGTTACACACTACAGGCATGAACCAAGGAAGACCAAGTCACTGTTTGTTCAGCTGAGACTTTTGCTCAGCAGAAGGGTCCTCTCTGCCCAGCTTCTCATCTCATTGACGTCATGGGCCTCAGCAGCCTTTGTTTGTGGTCTGGAATGTGGCTGTAGGCACAGGCAGCTGAACTGCTGTCCAGTCAGCTTTTCTTTGGGTACATCCAGGAGCTCAGGTCTTCGGGGAGATAAAGAATGTCAAGATTTATACACCAGTAGCATGTGCTTCATCTTTTGCAACTCCTTCCCCTTATGTGGTGTTGGGAACCTGTGGTACCTACCTCCTTGGCATGAAATTTCTGTCTCCTCTCCTACCCTCACTTCCACTCTCTGAAAGGATCCAGAAGTCTCTGATTTTTGCAAATGTGTATATAAGTAATTCCTAATGCATCTGAATTGTCCCAGTAAATTGAATTAGACTAACTTTATGTACTTGAACTCATGTGGAAGGACTGGGTCTTGTAGTTTAACTTTAGTCCTATTAAAGTTCTGGACAGAGAGAGACTGACAAAAATCCAGATCTTCTTTGGACTAGTAAAAATCAACACACTAGAACTGTCTGGTATTGTAGGAACAATTCTCTGGCAAGGTGAACCGTTTCTCTGACTGGATTTGTTTAATTAACAGTGTCCCTTGGTCTGCTGCTCCACCTTCCCTGCACATACAGCTTTATAGAGGTACAGTCAGGGCTTGATTTGGGGAGAAATACTCAGTGCATTAAACTTCCATTATTGCGAGCTAACTTTGACTAGAATTGTTTCTTTTTTTTTCTTTTAAGTAGTACTGCCTGCCCTAGTGTTTTAGAAAAATTAAACTAAGGAAATAAGAAATCTTCTGTGTACATCATCTGGTTCTGATTACCTACTTTATTTTCTGAATAGCAGTGGAACTTATTCAGCAAGTCAGTGTGCAGTCCACAAATGTGGTATTAATTAATGAGGTATATGCTTTGGACTTGGCTGCCACCAGCTCAGTGGTTTCTGAGCATGTTGATGCATTGTAGAGGGTTCCTGATTTCTATGGCTACCTCCCAGCTGGGAGTTGATATTCCTTAAACTACAGACAGGGCAAAATACTGAATGAAATACAGTCTTTGCTGTGGAACATCACACCATATTGTATTTATGGGGTACTCAAAGGATCAATTTGCATAATTATAATTTCTATAGAAAAAACTCAGACGTAATTGGATCAAGTATTATAGGAATATAATTTAATTACAGGCATGAAATCTAATGTAAATAAATAGCAGACAGTTTTCTAGTAACTTCTTTAGGCTAAGATGATTATAAAATTAGATAATTTAAAAACCAAATAGTCCCAAAATTTGCATTTCCTCTTTTAAAGTAACCAGTTGCTTTCAGAGGGCAGCAATGTCCACCATTGAAAGAGTTTAATGGAACAAGATGTTAGAAAAATCTGTCCAGGCAGTGATAGCTGTCATCACAAGAGTGGTACTTGAGAAAGTAAGAAATTCTTGGCTTGTTTTATGGAATATACCACTGACATGTCAAATTCCTTTAAAGAGGTACTACACATGTCTAAAAATGTGTTCTGCCTTTCCATCTTTTCATTTCCTCTGGTTGAGGACAGCCCTGAGACTGTGTTACATTAGTGATGGGGGCTGTGTTTCCTTCCCAGCCGTTCTGGGGGTTCCAGCCAGTCCTGCTGAGCTTCCCTGGGCTGTCAGCTGGCACTTGCCACTTGTCTCTGAAGAGAATATGCTGTAAATCCCAGCATCTGCTCACACACCTGTGGGATGTGGCAGTGCTTGTGCAGGAGGTGGAGTAACAGCACAAGCACAGGCCCACTTGCCAGGCTACTGCTGCAGTGTTTTCCCTCTCTTAAAGAGTAGAGGTGTAACTGTGCCCTCTGGAAACTGGAGGCTGAAGGTAGATTTACTGTCAAGGAAACCTTTCAGAGTATTTAACTCGTACTACTTTTATTTCTAACCATTACACACAAGCGTGGTGTGCCTTCCACCCCTTGCTTCCAGATACAGTTGTAGCAAAAGAGTACATAAAAAAATTAAATTAGTTAATTTCTAATAGTCTACAAACATTTGAAGGATGCTGTGAACTTTCTGAACTATTTTTTGAGGTTACTCATTACTTCAATCAATTAATGTTTGTTTAAATGCAAACACAGCTGTTTTGTAGGATTGTTTGGTTTTTACCCACGCACGAGGGATTTACAAACTGAGCAAATGATACACTTTGGGTTAACAAACCCTATTTCTCCAAAGCCCATAATCTCAAATGACAAATATTATTGCTCTTGGAATTGGGGGCATGAGGGTGGATGGGAAATCAGTGTGGGTTTTGGCTGTTTTTTTTCTGATGTTGTTGCCTTTTGGTTTGTAACCCTCAAAGCCATAAAATTCATAAAGCTGAGCCTCCAGTAATGGCTTTTAAGATGGATTTTGTCTCCATCAGCGTGCCAAGAAAAGAGACAAAGTTATTTGCAGTGTCCCCCCTGTGCCATATCTGGAATATGCATTTGGCCTTAGCAGCCCAAACAAACCTGGTGCTGCCATCTCTGCTTGTGCCAGTGCCCACACACAGCCCCTCCTTTGCCCCAGATGATGTTTGTGCTCTATTTCAACAGCAGACACCCCCTGTGTTACAAGATAGGCTTTACCTAGTCAAAAAAAGCAATGATAACCTTTTTCCCTCTAAAAACTTGGACCGATATTTGCCAGTACCTTTCAACCCCTCTGATCTGCAATATGCACATTGTAGCCCTATTTCACTATTGTTTTACAGAAAATAGCCCCAGAAATACCCCCCTTTTTAAAATCTCTCTCAGTAACACCTTCCTAGAGGGCACTTCAGCATTTCTGAATTGTTCATTTTCCCAGATTTCTAATACTCAAGTTTTTCTTCCTTTAAACAGATATTTCTTTCATTTACACTAATTTTCCTTTATGAACATGAAAACAACCTTTGTGTGGGCAAGCAGTAAATATAGGATTAGCAAACTTGCACAATGGCTTGGTTCACATTTTATTCTTTGCAGTGTGATTTCATTAATGAATAGTCAAGTTGAATTTGGAAAATGAATATAGGATAAAAAACCCCTGCTTTGTACAATTCGGTTTCTACTTAAGAAATAATTAGTGTTGACTGGATCTAATAAAGAGGTAGGCTTTTCAATTTATCATTTTGAATTTGATGTTTGCTATGGAATTTCTTATTCTTCTAATTTCTTGAGAAATAGCAACACCTAAAGATCCCGAGATCATTTCCTTGGAACCCTGCTGATTTCATTCTTACTAAATTCTATAGATGTGAGCCTGTAGTTATTATGAAACTTAAAGGAAAATGACAATTGAAGTGATTTTTTCAGTAAAATGTTAGGAAAATTATCCCTATTGTTATGCAGACAGATTTTTTTTCCTATGGAGAAAAAAAAGTTGTAACAAATAATTCATTTAAAGTTTTAGTTTTATGAGTTCTGTTAAACTGTTAATATTTTAAACTTTATTTTGATGAGAGCCACATTTGCATTAGTCTAGATGTGGTTTCCTTGTAACTCTTGAATCTCTTTTAAAAAAGATATCAGAAAGAACCACATGTTTTAGATTTCTTAATGGAGGCATCCTACTTGTCCTGCTCATGTCCTTTTTCTTGTAATGAATATTTAGCACATTAACCTGAGCACAATGGCTTGTTCCACATTTCAGGCTGGATCCCCAGTAGCTGTGAACCCTTCAGTCTCTTGCATTCTGTTTGATCAGCAAGTACTTGGGAATGGGAGAAGTGTGCAGGATTGGAAACAGCAAAATTCACTATTCCTGCCAGGGTTTTGCTTGGGCAAACTGCACCTCACCTATGAGAACCACACACATGATGTCCAGAGCCTGATTATGTGTGGAAATTAAAACAGAAACAAAACAGTTACCAGATGCCATCCATATTTTCCTTCTCTCTAAAGCTTCGATGTTTTTAAGAAAAAAATTGTATTGGTGTAAGGCTCTAGGTCCTGTGAATTTGGAGCAAACTAGTAAGATGGTAATTAAAACAACAGATCAAAACAGATGAAAGTAAGAACAGCAGATGCTAAAGCAAACTCTTACAGGAGATATTTGTGAGACTTCAGTAAATCTACAGGAAATTAATATCAGTTCTATAAACCTCCAACGGATAATCACAGGAATAAAAATTAAACCAAAAAAGGGTCTTCTACAAAAATTAAAAAAATCAAAGCTTAGAGTAAAACCCAGAGTCAAACCTAACTGTTGCACAGAGTCAAACTTAATCTGTTGTTCTCTGTGGTGTGATCTGCTGTGTTGCACATGTAGAGCTTTTGGGTCATCTCTGGTTGAACACCTTTTCAATAATTACTGTAATAAAACACTTAGGAAATTTTAGTAATCTTGCAAGTCCATTGGATGTGCCTGCAGGAAGCCTCCTTTCTGCTCTTTCCTAATTATTCTTATTTAGAACAATAACCTAGACTGAATTTGTTAGATTTCATTTTCTGGAATATATTTTAAGTCAATAGATCAGCAGGGTGTTAATGTGAGTTTCTTGTCCCTGTGCATTTGTGCATGATCATCTGGATCCTCTTCCATCCCTGCTACTGCAGGTGGCCCAGTGTGTGAGTCCAGAGAAAAGGCAGAGCAACTGCCTCTCCCACTTGGCATGATTGCCTAGGAGGGAGTTATACAAAAGGAGAGAATTGATTTCTACCTTGGTTCCATGAGAAAAATGAAACTTCCTGCAATTTCTCTGTGTGCGTCTCCCTCAGCCCCACTCCCCTTCCAAATAACTTTTGAACCCTTTGGTCAGTTTTGGCCCTGTTGGATCAGGAGGTTACACTGCAGGGAGTTGAGATGAGCAGTTGGTAAGAGGAGAGAGTCTCCATGAACATCCCACTGGAGAGGAGTCTGTGGCTCAGCACCAGAAGATTCATACGGAAAAGGGACGTGAATGCTCCAGGTAGATGGAAATTACTCATTGGACATCAAACCAAACCCCAAAAATTATGGGGAAAACCAGCAATATTGTGCTGTGCATAGAACCTTTTGGGTTCCTTTCTCCTAAAGCTTTAAGGAATGGAGTTTTTTTCAGCCTGTTCCCCTTTGCTGTTCCTTCGCTTGCTGACACTACTCTTGCAACCTGAGCGGCACCTGTGAGTCTCTGCACGTTCCTTCTCTCTTAACTAAGAGCTAAGCATGCTTACAATTTATTTTTCTGGATGCAGGATTTCCATATTATACATCACACAGTATTTAGTCTGAAAAACTATTTAAGAACTTCTGAAATTTTTTGAGTGTAAATAGGAAGCTCTCCTTTTTTGACATGTTTGTGTTTGCATTGGTATCCATCTCTAAGTTGAGGTCTCGACCATGGTTGTATTATATTTATCTATCTATAGAGAGATCTTTGCAGCATTTCTACAGGATCTACTGAATTGTTTTACCTGAACTGTCTTAGTGGCTTGATTTGCCTCTGAGCTCAGAGGGGCAGCTGGAAACCTCCACTATTTGTATATCTCAGCCCATCTTTAATTATTTTGTAAATGGTTCTACTTACATTGCATTATTATAAGTTGAAATGGTTTTGGAACATTCTTTGCTGGTTAATTGGAAACTTGCTATTTATGGCTTCCAGATGATTTGCACTGATGGGCATTCAGGGTGGTTTTCTGGCTTCATTTAACCTGTTGATTTAGAAGTGGTTTTTTATTTTGGAATTGATGTGAATTTTTCTTTCCACTTAATCCTTGAGATCAGCTAGTAGATTTCATAGAAAAGGAAAGATAAACTGTCTCTGTATCCTGAGTCTACTCACAGAATATGCAGTCCAGAAATAACATACTGTACAGACTGATGGAGCAAGGAGTATGAAAATTTTCCTTTCCTACAGATGTGATAGTTCTCAGAAATCCAGCTTTCATTTGCACTATGCCAAGTGAAAAAGGGCTCTTTTCAGGATGGGATATTTCAGGGTTTAAATAGTCTCTTTGTACTCAGAGCTCATGCACTGTTTTTTACTGTTCATATTTTCGGTACTTTTCCTTCTTTGAAGTGATAGAGGAAATGGAGCAATCTGCAGCTCACTAGAAAAATCAGGAGGCTCAGGTGATGTGCCCTGGGACTTGCTCTTCATTGTCTTTGCAGCCATGATCCCAACAGCCCCTGTGCTCCTGCTCGGTCACAGGGCGACAGCCCGAGGTGTCAAACCCACTCTGAGCCTTCTTCTGAGGCAGGATTTAGTTGTCTTTCATGCTGAGAACTTACCTTAACATAATTTTGACAAATAAGATTAATTTCTTGCTATGTTAAGCTTCATTTTCAAAGTGGAAAAGGAAGAGAACTGTGAAAGATGTCCCTGCTTTCCCTGTATTTCTTCTATAGAAGAGCTAGGACTGCAAGTGAGAGAAGAGTAGGGCCAAGGAAGCTCAAAGGGCAGAGGAAACTTAGCCTGAACCAAACTTTTCATTACAGAAGTGTCTGACTTTGGTGAAATTTATGTATTGCTTTTGACTAGCAAACTTTGCAAGAGAGCCAAGTTATTTTATTATTTGTAAAGTCAGTGACTAAAAATGAAAGAGATAACATCTCAGATAATGTTGGAGAGTTTGTTTGTTTGTTGGCTTGTTTCACTGGTTTGAGGAAGAAATGAAAACTCCTTTGGTCACTAAAGGAAATCAAATAGCCAAGATATTCAAAGCTTTGATCATAGTCTTGAATCTAAAAATATAACAAACTAAGTAGCACTACAAACAAACATAAGTTGAGGCATCAATAACAGCAGCTGATAACCAGCTTTATGGCTGGGATGATTTGGCTGGTTTAAAATTAAGGAGCTAGCAGTGTAAGAAAGCCATTTTGAAAAATGGGCAAAACCTCTTTTCTGGGCACTACCTTCTACCTACTCCTTTGTTCCTGCTCTCATGAAGAAATTAGATGTGTTGATGGCTGCAATGTGTGTTCTTGAATGATAAGCCTAATTCTTAGTTACACAGCTTCATCTGGAAAGGTCAACAGAGGACAAAGGTCATGGCTCCAATAATGATACTTCCTTACATGTTAAAAAGCTTACAATTCTTTAACAGTTTTCATTTTAGAAGGTAACAGAAAATCACCCTCAGCAGTTTAATTCCATCAGTCTAAAAGTATTTTCTTTGAACTGCTGGCCGCTGCTTTATTTGTTTATTTACCTATTATTTTGGGAGAGGAGGAAGAGGGTGTAAGGAGAAACCAGGAATTGCTGCATGAGAGCTGACCTGTCTCGGGTATCACACCAAACAAACATCTCTTGGGAATGTTCTAGGTGTGGCTGCAGCTCTCTGAGCACAAGGGACAGGCTCTGGGACAAACAAGTGAGGTTTGTGTGTGTTACATTAAAACTTCATGTTCTGAGCATGGAAAAACCTCTTGAAGAAAAGTCCTGCCCTGTTCTCAGTGGAACTGCACTTCTGTGAACATCTTCAACTATTTATTCATGTATTGCCTGGTTTCATTATAAGCAGATTTTCCCCAGCCAGTTCCCCACAAAGGCAATGGGTGCTTGTGTTGGCACAGGAGATGCAGCAGCAGGCAGCAGATGTTAGCTGGGAGGTGGGAATGCTTCTTTCCATGGTGGCCACTTAAGTCTTCAAAGCATTTAGGGGAACCCACAGTCTCAGGAACTGCTGATACACAGCTTCCAGAGCGGTGTGGGATCTTTCTTACAGCCTCATTATGGTATTTACCTAAAGGTTTCATTCCCTCTATTACCACCAATATTAACAAGAAATTCTTTGTAAGAAGCTTGGGCTTATTCACTTTCAAACCACATACAACTCAGAACACTGCTTATAGCAGTATTTTAAGATTCAGTACTTTACCTTGTTGTTGGCAATGTGACTTTGTGACCCTGGACTATAAAGTCAAAGGGTGCTTTGTCAGTGATATCTGAAGAGTAGGGATTTTATCCTGAGTTGGCTTTACAGTACAAACACAAATATTGTTCATGATTTCTGCCCTCTGATAATGATTTCATCTTGTGAAGAGACTTTACTGTGACAAGCTCACCCCTTTATGTTAGTGAAGTAGCTAAAATGCAGAGCTGTTCAGAGTATTATTTAAATGTCTTTTGCAACCTTAGAGGCGAGTGACCTTGCTGCCCTGGCTAAATTCCCGTTTACATCATGACAATCTACTGCTTAACTCCTCAAGGAAATGCTGTGCAGAGGCCAAAGCTAAACCTGCACTGTTCAGTCTGAACTGGGATATCCACAGAAAACAGTGCTCTCTGGGGATTCTGCACTGGGAGAGGTGTTTGCTGTGAAGTACTGGTGTTAGCTGATGTATAAATTGCTGCCTTTGTTTCTGCCATCACCAGAAAGACTCAGATACTAAAGGTAACCAGCAAGGACTAGAAGCCAAAACAGAGAAAGAAAAAGCTTTAGATTATCCAGAAATGTATTTAATGACTGTGACAAGTTTTGCCCTTGAAATTATAAATTAGTCAGAACAATATTAAATCTGTAAGTAATTAGCCCAAAGAAAGGCTGAAGGACAGTTCTGTTGTTGCTAAGGCCCAGGGAAAAGCAAAAATAAAAGTTAAAAGAGATACTTTATTTAAAGGAAATAGAGTAGCATGTTTTCATTCTTTTCCCAAAGACTCTTATCACAGAATGGCATCGAAATTTTGCAGGAAAGTAAGATTACTTTAATTAGGAAAACGTATGTCTGTCTGAATAGGTAAGCACTGAACAGATCCCACACCACAGAATGACTTTTATCAGAGGTTTGCAAAATAAGACAAATATCTGTCAAGAATAAATATACTTCAGTTCCTCTGCTTTGGGGCAGAAGGTCTGTTCAGGTTTCTGAGTTATATTTGAAGCTGTTGTTGTTTTCCTCTGTCCTATTCTCTGCTGCTTCTAATTCTGGCTGTTAGCATGTGCTTTAGAAGGCTCACTGCAGAGTGGGATTTGGCAGACTGAGGTATCTAAAAGAGCCTCCCCCAAGGCTAGACAGACAAACAATTGTTAGGCTGAAATACAAAGATCCAGGTGATCCTAAAACACGCGGCCCAATTTGCAGGGTTTTTTTTCCCCCCCTGTTCTTGAACTCAAAAAATCTATAGCAGCTACTGTTTAGTAATACCAGCCCCTTTCCCATAGCTTTCCTGCCAAGTCTGCCCACCAAGGACAGGGCACGTGTTGGAGCTGCTGTTAACTAATAACTGGTTTGGGCCTCACAAAATACCAGTGAAGAGCAGTGATTTGCAGTCTCTGTGGAACTACACTTGACTAGAAAAAATGGGTTAAAAATCACTGGTTACCTCTTCAGTATTTAGAGCAGCACCTGAGCAGTCTCAGGGAAGCAGCCCCTCACTCAAAGCCCATTACCATAATGTACTCCATAAGGCCTTGCCTGTTATTTTTGTAAAGCTTGCCATAGCAGCTGGAATTTCAGGCCCTTATGTTTATCCAGCCACTTGTCTGAGTGGAAAATTTGGGAAGTAAACAAGTCCCCTTCTAGGCACCTGCCACCCTTGCATGGTCTGTCCCCCAGCCTAACTAAAGCTGTGACTGCTTCTGTGAAAACTGCTGTCCTGCTGTGATGCACAGGGCACCTGCAGCTACTGAACACTGACCTCTACATGTTGCAGAGGTATTTTCTTATCTGTTCTAGCTATCATGTAACTGGAATCATGAGATTAATTTCAATCTTCCCTCTATAGTCTTTTGTGTCAATTTTTTCTATTAAAGAATAGTAAAATCTTTGTAAAGTAGCCTTTAGAAGGAAGAAGCAGAAGCCAAAAGATCAAATTAAGATTTGACTTAGGGCATCACAGTAAATATGGAGACCATTCATGGCTACTGAGAAACACAAGATAGATTAAAAAAAAAGTGAAAGTATTGAGGAACAGCAGAAAACTGTTTTAAAAATAAAGCATTCCAAAGCAGCCACAGACAAATCAGTTCAGCCCTCCCTCTA